CGGCGGCCGCGCGGGCGGCTGAGGAGTCGAGGCCGGGAGTCGCCGCCGTTCCCGCCCCCGCCCGGTCCGGCCGTTGCTGCCGCCTGAACGAAGCCCCCGCCGGCCACCGAACCACGTCCTTACCACGGTGTTTGAATTTGCCGAGTTCGCCATTTCCACACACTACACAAATAAGAGGGGGGCAACCCCGAGAAAACAAGATGAAAACGAAACCAAAAAAAACAAAAAAACAAAAACACCGGAGGGTGACCCAAGCCACCGCACGATAGGGGGGAAAATGTTTAAACAAAATCGGATCCTGAAGGAGTAGTGGGGAGCGGTGAGAGGAGGAAGAGGGGGGCAGTCCTCCCGGAGCTAAAAAAAAAAACACCTCGAGGATCGCCCTTAAAAACAAAAAAAAAAAACCACGACCCTTAGGGGGCCCGGGGGGCGTTGCCCGCTCCCCACCCCGTGCCAAGCAGGGAAACCACCACCAGTCTCCGTCCCCCGCGCCGCCGCTGCCGCCACCGGCTGCAGCTCCAGCCGTCCGGTCCGCCCGCTTCTCCCCTTTATATAGCGAGCCAAAGAGCTGCGCGAGCCGCCGCTGCCGCCGCTGCCGCCGAGAGACAGGGCGGAGGGGGAGGGAGGGACGGAAAGGGCGGGGGCAGAGGTGGGCGGGGCTGAGCGCGAGACACCGCGAGAGCCGCGTCGTCACGCGCCCTGGAGGTTGGCGGGCGGAGTCCCGGGACAGGAGTAGTAAAGTCAGATCGCAGCCTCCTCCAGTCTCGCGTGATCACGTGGTTAGCACCCAGGCGGAAGTCTCCGGCAGCGCCTTTGGAATGAGGAGCCCGCAAATCCCTGGGAAAGGCGTGAATTCTGGTGCGACTCGAGTCCAATGCTAGCTGGGACCGCCTCCTGCCGGGCTTCTCTGCGCCGTCCCGCTGGAAGAGCTACGAACTGTGGAAGGGGTGGTGACAGCTGCCTCGTTAGGAGTGGCCGCGGAGTAGGACCGGTCACGTGGCCCACTTCGGGCCCCAGGCGCTCCCCGACTGAAGGCAATTTTAAATGCGGAGTCATGGCCCAGGGCTTCGGCTTGGTTTGGGAGTTAGCGCTTCAAGGAATCTGCGCCTCTCGCCCAGGGTGGACCTTTCACTTGCAAAATTGTAGTATTCCTAAAAAGGATGAAAGCTGATTTGGGCCCACTGTTAACGCATTCCAGAATTAATAACCCCTGAAATCTGCTGAGTTGTTTGTCTCTAAGTAAAACGTCTCTGGGTTTAAGTTACTCAAAGGTCCGGCCCCTACTTGTACATGACTTCTCACAGTGGTAGAAATGCCAAGAAAACAAACCGAAACACCGGCTACCGGATTATGACAGCACAATAACTTCACCTGTTTTTGTTTTTAAATATTGTCAACATTCTGTGACCACATGGCCATGCATGTAGTGACTAATGTCTGAAATACTTGCTCTTGACCGGCCAACTCACCTGGACTCTCGCTGCGAGAGAGCTGGCAGTAAATGTCCATGAGTTGGAGTGTGTTTGACCTACTTTGCACAAGCAAATCCCGCCTTTATATCAACACTTTATGCAGAACAGAGAATGCCCTGTTTAGAAGGCAGAACTCCAAATTTTCTTATCCCTAGGAATTTCGAGACATAGAATGTAGTCTGAACGAGTGAGGGAGTTTATCCTCAAAAGACAAAGCAAAACAAAATGCCAAAGTTCTATGCCGCTGAAACCAGATTTGAAGAAGACCTGACATCCTCCTTGAGAGTGGAACAGATGCAACCTGCCAGCATGTGAAGGAAGAGATTGGAGAAAGCAGAGGCCGTTAATACTCAGAAAAGGAGAAGTTGTGGATAGTTTGTGAATAGGTATAGAGAATATGTATTAATCTTGAGGCTTCTTTTAATGCGGTCTGATCCCCCATTCAACGCTAAACAGTTTCTTCTGTTCCCTGCTCAGCTGCCTGTTTGGGAGTACTTTAAAGAATGCAGGGGATATCACAGTGTTCTTGATATATAAAAATTCTGTCAACATTTGTAACTCATTTAATATTCTGGTGACCATCAACCCAAAAAGTTACACTAAACAATACCATTCATGGTAAATTTCACTGCATTATTTTAAGAGGATTTATTGTTACCTCCTTATATACATACTACCAACTGTTTGCAGATGGAATTCCTCACCTTCCACCTAGTTTTCTCCCCTACCATGTGGGATTCTTAACTAAATTATCCAGTGTTTTGCTATCAGTTAAGGTTAAAACCACTGTGGACAGGACATGACAAGAGGAAGAATATGAGATTTACTCTCCACTGAATTATTCATAAAGGGATTGATGACAGGTGTGCTCTGATTGGGTCTGACCTAAAAAATAATGGAATAGAGACTTTAAAAGCAGACATCCCAATCCTGGCCCCCTGAAGATCTTCAGACTCTCTGGAGTCTCTGAGTCCGCCTTTCTCTTTACACACTCTAAATTGCAACATTGCTTAAGCACTTAAAATTTTTACCTAGATTTCCCTTTTCCCCCGTTGTATGCCTGGCATCTAAGTAACTATCATGGGTTCCATTCCAATTTATTGCTTTCCATTTAGCCTTTATTTTGTCATCATCTACCTCGGTGGGCCTCCCTGACTGAGGAGCATGGTTGAGATCAAAATCACCAGCACGGAATTTCGTGAACCATCGTTGGCACTGACGTTCTTATAGAGCATTGTCACCATAAACTTTATGCAACTTTTCACAAGCTTGATGGCGCCTTCTTCCCTTTATGGAGGTAAAACAGTAAAATATGGCAAAAATTCAGTTTGGTCTTCCATCTTCAACTTGTTGTAAAATCTCCAAAACTCAACCAAAGCACTCAATTTTTTTTAGAATGAAGCTAGAACTGTCAGCTGTCAAATGACATAGCAATAACATAGATGCGAATGACTCTAGTACTTCCAAAAATGAACTAGTGCCATCTGTTGCACACATGCGTCATGACTTTTCCGAAGACCCAATATGTGCCAGCCAGTTTAGTTTCAAATGGAGAAATTTTCTGATTTTGCACCAAAATAGTGGGTCTGAATAATTTGTAGGCTACAGCTCTTTAATTCACAAAACTGAAAATTGTGAGAAAACTCCTCCCATGTAAGACTGGATTTAGCATCATATTTAAATTGTTTTTACCTGAGGTTCTCCTTCTTTCTGCCCTAAAGTTTGAATAACTTCTAATTTTAGCAATTCTTTGTACCTTATGAAATATTTATACATACTACGTTTTCAATCTGTGAACTCATATTTTGTAACAACCATATACTTAGTGAGATAGATTCATAACAGTACTCTTTTTGTGATGAATTTTTTTACTTCAAAATGTTTTATATTGGAGGATAAAAAATTACTTCTTTCTTTTAATATTAATATTCCACCGAAACACTGGATAACTGCCAAATATAAAAAGAAAAGGGAAAAAAATTCAATGCATAAATTTTAATATACCATAAACAACATAAACACCAAACCTTATATATCCAAACATTTAAATGTTTTACTGTCCAAATGACTAAACAACAATGCCAAGAAAGAAGAAAATCTAAAAAGATTGCTCAAGGAAAGTGACTTAAACTAAAATCTCATTATATGACTTCCCCTTCAGCCTCCATATTCTGAATGAATGAATGAATGAATAAACAAACCTAATTATCTAGCATATTTAGGCATCATGCAGCCATTATATGCTCAGAAGTATTGGGCACTTTTGGAATATACAAAAGTGAAAAGGAAAGACCTTATATATCAAATTTACTAAAAAATCCTAATGAAAGTCCCTTGTAAAGTGTAGTGCATACTTACAGCATTCATTCAGGATACTAAAAACACTAATGTATTTTAATTCTACGAAAAAAAAAAAGTACTATTCAATATATTCAGATTTCACCTAATTTTGGGCCTTTACCAAAAAAGAAAAACTGTTGATTTCCACATGCAGTAATTTTTGACGCAGTGTATAAGAAGAAATTGCTGACCACACACATTATTTCTATACATGTGAGATTTTTTAAAATCTTTTTTTAATGTTCTCTTTCTCCCTTGTAATTTATAGTTTGAAATTGCTACTACATGTCTTTAAAACGTCAACTAACTTGCAATTATTTTCTGTATACCAAAATATAAACCAGTTTCTGGTGGCTTAGAAAAAACAAGTTAAGTTAGTGTACTCCTACACAGAGTGCAGAGTCTTAGTGGAATCAGGCTTGACTCTGCCACTACTTTACTCTGTGACCTTCTGCAATAACTAAACCGCTCTGTGTTAATAAGATGGAATAAAAACCACATATCATTGTTGGGAAGATCAAAGGTACTTTGATAAGTATATAGAAAGTGCTTTAATAAATATTTGGTGGACGTTTTTATTATTTATGGTAAACATATTATAGCTACATCAACAACATCAAAACATGGGACAGCGCTTTCAAACTCACCTTGTAGAACAAAGGTGAATGTTGAATTTATTGGTTGGAATTCAACCGTTTATTGAGTTGCTTAAATTACACATGTGCTCAATTATATTTAGCAAAATTACATATGAATTTGACCATTGACCTAGCAATACCAGTTCTAGCACTCTATCCCACAGATATAGTGGCAAAAATATGAAAAGATCTATGACCAGGACTGTTCATTGTGGGACTAATTGTATTGTAACACTAAAATAATAGAAATACCCCACCCACACACGTGTATATAAGGAGATTGATTGAATCAACTATGGTGCTTGCAAACAATGGAGTGCTGTGCAGCTGTAACAAGGAATGAGGAATATCTCTATATACCACTAAGGAATTATCTTCAGGCTATAGCAGTAAGTGAAAAAAGCAAAGAAAAGTGTTATTTGTATTCTACCATTTAATAAAAGGGGAACTAAAAATATGTACACATACCCTTGCTACATTAAAAAAAAAAAAGATAAACCATAATTTAAAAACCCAACCAAAAAAAAAGAAAAAGAGGTACCTATAAGGATAAGTAGAAAATAGTGTGAGAGGACAGGAATAGAATCTAATTTAAATCATGCTTTGTTTTATAGATTTGACTTTGGAAACAAATATTTCACTTAATTATAAAACTAAATTTTGAAAAGAAATCCCAAACCTGAATACAAAATGAAGCATATCAGCCTAACAGTATATTCCATAATATCCACAGAGAAACTTTTTTAAGTGACTTAAAACAGTAATTTGCCTATATATCTGTAGTGGGATATTCTCTAAGGACAAAAAGAATCAAAAATTTTTTTCACTGTTCTCAGTATTTGTGTTGGTGCTGTTAATGTTTGTATATGCATTCTGGGTTTTTTTATGTGAAATGTGGGCTAAAGAAAATGAGTAATTTTATGATCCTAATCGTTCTTGACAAGTGGGATTCCCAACATAGAAGAAAGGAAATACAGATGTAAGATAGAAGAGGATAAGTAGATTCGTAGTCCTGAATTTAAATTAGAAGTATCATGATGCACTTTGTCTTAAAATGTTCCCCCTGGCTCTGAACAACAGAGCCAACAACAACCAACCCACTAGCAATGAGTATCCCTAATCCCTAGATTATGGTGCTTCAAGACCAGTGCTCCTTGGAGAAATGTCTTGTTCTGATTCCAGGACAAGAACAGGAAATGTATTTTTCCTTAAAACAACAAAAACCCTAACTCAATATATTTTAGCTTATAAAATATACATAGCTCTGAAAAAAACTAAACACAGTGAGCCCCAGTATCCATGAGCACCTCTAGTTCCCAGTTTATGATCTTGAAAAACATTTTCGACCAAAAGGAATCAGGGCTCCTTGGACATACTGTTGACTCCAGGACTGGGGGCAAAAATAATATTAGTTTAAACCAAATGAAATTGCCAGTTGTCCTCCAACCAAATACAAAATGAGTCTAGAATATGTTTTTATACAAATAGCAAGAAAGATATATTCATTTCCTAGGGCTATTGTAACAAAATATCACAAACCGGGTGACTTAAAACAACAGAAGTTTATGGTCTCATAGTTCTGGAAGCTAGAAGTCTGAAATCAAGGTGTCAGTAGGGCCATGCTCTCTCTGGCACTTTTGGTGGAATCCTTCCTTGCTTCTTCCCAGCTTCTGGTGGTGGCCGGCAATTCTTGGCTTTCTTGGCTTGCAGTTGCATCACTCCAATCTCTGCTTCATCTTTTCATGGCATTTTCCCTGTGTCTTTACATTGTTTTCCCTCTGTGTACCTCTGTCTCTGTGTCCAAATTTCCCCGTTTTATGAAGATACCAGTCATATTGAATTCAGGTTTACCCTGATGTCCTCATTTTAAATTGATTGCCTCCATAAAGACCCTATTTTCAAATAAGGTCATTTTCTGAGGGACTGTGATTAGGATTTCAATGCATCTTTTTGGGAGGGCACAATTCAATCCAGATCAGAAGATATCAAAGACTACTAGTATCATGTCAAAAGAATTCAGGAGCCAACACGAAGAGGCTCCTACTGCCCAAGGATGAGATACTTCTGAGTATCGATAGGAACTAGTACTTGCAGCAAGTTCAACCACATCAAATATTTAAATCCATTCATTTATAATGTTGCTCAAAAAACAAAACATGAAAATTCTAACTGGTCATCATTGGAAGATGCTAAGGAAAGAACTCATTATTTTGAAGATTGGTAAATAAAGAAAAATAATCAAGCATTTATCCAGCCTTTCCTACATGAACTGTACCACAAAGTACCAAAAAGTAGATGTAGTGAGCTAAATGGTGGCCCCCCAAAGAATGTCCATGCCCTAATCCCCAGAACCTGTGAATGTTATCTTATTTGGAAAAAGGGTTTTGCTGATGTGATTAAGGATTTTATGATGAGATCATCCTGGATTATACCCTGGTGGTCCTAAATCTGATGACAAGTGTTCTAAGAGATACATAGAGGTAAACAAACAGAAGAGGAAATTATCAAGAGTGGTAGAAACTGGAGTGATGCAGCCAGGAATGCCAGCCACCAGAAGCTGGAAGAGGGAAAGAATAGATTCTCCCGAGAGCCTCTGGAGGGAGTACGGCCCTGCCAACACCTGAATTTTTTACTTCTGGCCTCCAGAACTGTGAGAGAATAATTTTCTGTTGTTTTTAATTCCTGAAGTTTGTGGCTATTTATTAAAACAACCTCAGGAAACTAACACAGTAGATGAGAGGAAGTTTCTCTTTAAAGAAATATGGCAGCTAATAAGTGAATAAGGAATGAAAGAATATCACCATTTTGGAACTTGTAATGAATTAAGAGATGGCGGCGTTAAGCACTGACCTCTGCCAACATCACAGAAGGAGAAACAACCAAATATTATGTGCTTCCTGATGAAGTACATGCTACCACCTATAAGGTAGCATTACCCCCACCCCCACTGCCCAAAAAATGTAAACCCTGAATATGATCAAACTTCTAGAGCCAACTAAGAATTTTAAAAAATATACAGAAGATGCCATCAAGAAAGCAATCAGCACAATCCAGACCCTAGGAAACTATAGGACAAATGATTCAATTTCTTCAACAAATAAATTCAGGGAGAGAGAGGAATCTGCAGGTTACAAGGTACTTAAGAGACCTATTAATCAATCACAATGTGTGGACCTTATTTGGATCCTAATTCAAATAAACTGTGAAAGAAAGATGACAATTATGAGACAATTGGAAATTGGAACACTTAACTGGATATTTGATTAAATCAAAGAGTTATTGAATTAAATGAAATTTTTCATTAAAAATATTAAAAATAAACTCCGTGAAGCCTTATTTTATAATCAGCAATGGTTCTTTAGCCACACAGCTTGTCTCTAGTTAAGACAGTTGGTATTCTCAAGAAGGCCTGGAACTGCGTTATAAATGTAATTAATATTAAACACTGTGTTTAATTACATGGGTTTCCTCTTTCTCTGATTCTCAGCTCTTGGCTCTCAGCTACATGTGCCATATCTTGATCCACAAGTTGAACAGCTGTGATTTGGGACAATCAAAAATGGTGAAAATTAAGGTGCTTGCTCAGACTTGTTCAGAATATTGTAAAAATATTCTAGTGGCCAAATTATCCTTGATTTACTTGCCAACTTTATCTTCCTACTCATATACCTTTAGCTTCATAGAGGCTTTTGATATGACCTAATTCTACATAGACAACTTTCTAATAAAATACAGCATAGAAGGTAAATTATATCTATGGTTAATCTACAAACTACATCTTAGAGAATTACTATGGAAACTGGAACTAGATGGGCCATTTTCAGTTTTTCTCTAGAACCTACCTTTCTCTGGTCGTAGAGGTTGTAAAAATTATAAAAAGTGAGGTGGCAGAAAGGATATAGATTCCAGGCCAGAATGGAAGTAAGGAATCTGCATAAATACCAAGGGCTGGTCTTTCTTTAAACAAGGGTTTCTGTGAGAAAATCAAGGGGCGCAGTTCAAATACCTTCTTGAGAACAAGGCTCTGAATTAATCTTGCAGGATGGTTCTTCAAAGTAATGAGATAGCCACTGGCAAAAAGAATGGATGTTCAAACAACAAAATGCAAATTTTAAAAAAAATGAGGAATTTGCCATTTTGTGTTCATTGCTAAGTAGAGAACCAATAATAATAATAATAATAATAATAATAATAAATTTACTTTAAAGCTTTAATCACACAGTACCTCCTTTGAAGTTTGTAACAGTCAAATGAGATAAGTAGTAATATCACTTTATTGTGGCTAGGAAAATGAGAATTTAAGCAGTGACTTGCCCAAAATCTTAGTGCTATTTGTGAAATTTTAGAGGTACAAGGTCAAGGAGGGTCTTTTCACCTGTCTTAGAAATAAGAAGCTATCAATCCAGGAGAATGTGAAGGTTTTGAATCAAATTATGTTGATCCTTAAGTTTATCAAATATATATTAATTACATAATGTGTTACACTTCATTTGGGAGACAAACAGAAACTCTATAGTGTATACAAAATTGAGATATGAAACTGAGACTTTGCCCTGATTAAATCTAATTGTCTTCATAAAAGCATCATCAAAAACCATTTATTAAATCATTTAAATAACTGATTTCTCTGTTTCTACATCATCTATTTCCCATTCCACATAGCACTTACTCAATTATTGAATTTGGCAAGAACAGTCATTTTCTAGCAAGATTCTCTATAATCAAAACACTTTTGTCTAGCTTTTTAGGTATATTTTAAGTGCTTTCATAAAACAAGAAAATGAAGGATGACCATTTTTACTGGTAGAACATTGGGAAGGTAGAACATTAATTTTTGTATTTTACCCAGTGGGTCAGTGGTACAACTCCCATTATGTAGATAGAAAAATAAATTGGGCCTGTGCCAATGTCATTGTACAATAAATTGGAAGAGGCAGTGTATATTGATATAGTGATGGAGCAAGTACCCATGAGCATGACCTCAGGAGTCAAATACACCCAAGGTGCCTGTCCTTGCTTTGACCATGGGCAACTTACTTCATCTGTAAAATGGCAGTGAGTAATATTATCTACTTTAGAGAGTTTTGTGGAAATTAAGAGATAATGCGTGTAAAGCTCCTTAGCACAGTGATTGGCACAAAGTAGGTCCTCAGTATATATTAGAGACCATAACAGCAATAACAGCAATGATGATAATATTGATTGTACACAAAATTAAATGATTTCTATTTTGTCTTTGTCTAGGTCACATTGAGCAGTGGAGTGGAAAAAACATTAGGAATCAGAATACATTTATGAAATGAGTTCACCAAATACGCAAACCAAGCCCACATTTATCTTTTGGACGTGTAAGTGTTTCCCATCTGTAAAATTAAAATCAAAAAAGAAAGCAATTCCAAGTTTGAGATAAAACGCATACTACACTTAAATTAGTAAAATTTTCACCAGTTTCTCTGAGGTTAAATTATTTGAATAACTGATTTCTCTGTTTCTACATCATTGAAAATCATCAATTTTCTGAAATAATTATGTCAGGTTGTTTAAAACTAGGGGCTTTATAGAAATCTCTAGTCAAGAGATATAATTGTTCATTTGTCAAGTGCAGAATGCATTACCATTCCTCAATAAATCTTAAATTACAATGATAGATTTTTAGCCTTCAGATATGTTATAGTGTGTCATAAAAAATCGATGCCATTATTTGGCCTCAGGATGGCAAAATACACCTGAGCCCAGATAGAACACAGGGCTAGGAAACCACAGTCCCTAGAATGGTGTTTCATTTCTTCTTCATATATTTTGTAGCTCCCTGAGTGTTACTTATCACTAACAATGGTTTTATTTTCATAGGTTAGAATTCATCATATATTTGCTTCTTAATTCTAATTTTGGCAAACAACACAATCAAGTCCAAATCTCTTCTTTCTCTCTCCTTTTTTTTTTTTTTAAAGATTTTTATTGGGGAATTGGGGGATGGGAACAGCGCTGGGGAATTGGGGGAAGGGGAACAGATAAGTTGCTGTCGTTTGTTCTTCAGTCTAGTTGTGGAGGACGTTGCTTCACTGGCCCAAGTTGGCACCATCATCGCGCTCTTCCCAGGTGAGGCAGATCAGTCGCTGGCTTCTGGACGGCCGCTCATGCTGGCTGCTGGCTACATACGGTAGCCCATGGCAACCCACTGCAGCAGGGGCTGCAGCCTACACCGTTGTGGGCAACTCAGGGCAGCCCAACTCCAGGTCGAGCTGTTGTTCAGCATCTTAGCTGTAGAGGGCAGTGTCACTGGCCCTTATATGTGGGATCCGAACCGGGGCCCTCTGGCATCCCAAGCCAGCTCTTAACCATCGTGCCACTCGGCCGGCCCTCTCTCTCCCTTTTTCTCTTAACTTTCCTTCCTTCCTTCCTTCCTTCCTTCCTTCCTTCCTGCCTTCCTCTTCTTCTCTTCTCATTGTCTCCCTTTCTCTTTCTTTTTACTTTTTAAAAAGATTTTATTGGGGAATTGGGGAAGGGAACAGTGTTGGGGAATCGGAGAAGGGGAACAGACAAGTGCTGTCCTTTGGTTCTTCAGTCTAGTTGTGGAGGACGCCGCTTCACTGGCCCACATTGGTATTGTGATCATTGCGCTCTTCCCGGCTGAGGCAGATCGGTCACCAGCCATTGGAAAGCCACTCACGGTAGCTCACGGCAGCTCACTGCAGCCCCACTGCAGCCCAGCTCCAGGTCGAGCTGTTGTTCGTCATCTTAGCTGTAGAGGGCACAGCATCACTGGGCCATGTGGGATCCGAACCGGTGGCCCTGCTGCTCAGAGCTGGTGTACCAAGCCAACTCTTAACCAATGAGCCACTCTGCCGGCCCTCCCTTTCTTTCTTTTCTTTTTTTCCTTTTTAACACAATATTTACAGAATACCAAAAATAACCTCTATTCAATGACTGAATATATTTTCAATCTCCCAATGTTAGAATATTGGAATTAAAAAAATATTGTATTAAAAAATCAAACCAGAATTTCTGTCTTACTTTTTAAAGTGTGATTGGATAATGATTATCAAATACAGGCCATTTTCAAAATCTCAGTATGTTCTTAGCCTGCTTAGTATTTAGCCTGTTTAATTTTATCCTTAATCAATCTTGACATTTTAAAAATATTTTATTGGGGCCTGCCGAGTGGCACATTGGTTAAGAGCTGGCTTGGGATGCCAGCTCTGAGCAGCAGGGCCCCGGTTTGGATCCCACACGAGGGTCAGTGACGCTGCGTCCTCTACAGCTAAGATGGTGAACAACAGCTCAACCCGGAGCTGGGCTGGTGTGAGTCGCCGGCGACAGCGTAGGCTGCAGCCCCTGCTGCAGTGGGCTGACATAAGCTACCGTGTGTGGCTCGCAGCCAGCGTGAGTGGCCGGCAGCCCGGTGTGAGCTGCCAAGAGCTGCTGTGAGCGGCCGTCCAGAGGCTGGCGACCGATCTGCCTCACCCGGGAATAGCACAATGATAATACCAACATGGGCCAGTGAAGCGATGTCCTCCACAACTACACTGAAGAACAAAAAGGACAGCAACTTGTCTGTTAACCTTCCCCCGATTCCCCAGCACTGTTCCTCTCCCCCAATTCCCCAATAAAATCTTTTAAAAAAATAAAATAAATAAAATAAAATAAAAATATTTTATTGGTAATGAATGGGACTATGTCAAACTAAAAAGTTTATGCACAGAAAAAGAAACCATCAACAAAACAGGCAACCAACTGAATGGGAAAAGATATTTGCAAATAACACCTCCAATAAGGGACTAATATCCAAAATATATAAAGAACTCATACAGCTCAACAACAAAAAGACAAACAATCCAATTAAAAAAATAGGCAGAGGACCTGAACAGACATTTCTCTCAAGAAGACATACAAATGGCCAACAGATATATGGAAAAATGCTCAACTTCACTAGCTATTAGGAAAATGCAAATCAAAATCACAATGAGATACCACCTCACACCTGTAAGAATGGCTATCATAGACAAGACAAATAATAATAACTGTAGAAGAGGTATGGAGAAAAAGGAACCCTCATACACTGCTATACTGCTGGTGGAGCAGTAAATTGGTACAGCCACTATGGAAAACACTATGGAGGTTCCTTAAACAATTAAGAATGTAATTACCATATGACCCAGCAATCCCTCTTCCAGGTATCTATCCCAAAAATCTGAAAACATTTATCCATAAAGATATATGTGCCCCTATGTCCACTGCAGTATTATTCACAGTGGCCAAGACATGGAAATAACCAAAGTGTCCTAGAATAGAGGATTGGATAAAGAGAACGTGGCACATATATACAATGGAATATTACTCGGCCATAAGAAAAGATGAAATACTGCCATTTGTAACAACATGGATGGATCTTGAGATTATCATGCTAAGCAAAATAAGACAGAAAAAAATTGAGAACCATATGATTTCACTCATATGTGGCATATAAAACTGAAAGCAACAAATGAACAAGACAAACAAAAACTCATAGACACAGACAACAGTTTAGTGGTTACCAGAGAGGGTAACGGGGGAGGAGGGTGGTAGAAGAGGGAAAAGGGGGTCAAATATAGGGTGATCGAAGGAGAACTGACTCTGGGTGGTGGACACATGATGCAATATATAGATGATGTATTATAGAATTGTACACTTAAAATCTATATGATTTTACTAACCAATGTCATCTCAATAAATCTAATAAAAATTAAAATAAACATTTTATTGGGGGAAAAACAAGGAAAGTTAAAATTACCACAAGCCACCAAATAAAAATATACTCATGAATTCCTGTCTCTCCACTCACACAGCTCAATCCCACCTATGTTTTTCTTATGCTTGCAAGACATCTCTAGATATATGTATGTAGGTAAACACAAGTACACTGTTTTTCACAAAAATGGAGTCATGCCTTAAATTTTATATGCAACTTGCCTTTTTCATAGACCCAGTACATCAAAGACCTGTTTTATTTCAAGCTGTAAATTTCAAACTGTCTCAGGTGTTTTTAACAGCTGCATGCCATTTCACAGTATGAATATACAATAATGTATTTAATTGTTCCCCTATAAATACAGTTAGGTTATTTCCTTTTTTGCTATTTTAAACATTATTGCAACAATACCTTGAATGCCCCTTAATACATTTTTGTTATTATCTTTGTAGGATAGATTCTTAGAAATGGAGTTGATGGTCTTAGGCTTTCCACATGTTAAATACTAATTGATAGTCATAAGCGACCCCCCCCAACAGGTTGTTCCTGCCGTGTCTTTGATTTTATAAAGGTCCCACATAGCTGTCCTATAAAGTTGAGAGCAACCTCCTTTCTTGCTCCTCCAGAAAAAAAGAATTCTTGGTCTTTTAAATTTTATGTCTGTATCTTTCTTCACACTACACACTTATGCCTGATAGTATGAACTTCAAAGGATCTAAGTTTTAAAGAGAAAGCAAACAATTTATTGAAGTTGCAATAGAAAACATGAAGGATACCGCTTTTATCTCCCATCTTCAAGCCCAGAGGTATATGGTATAAGAGAAAAATCTGTATCCTTTTGGGAGGATGACAGGGGAAGCAGTAGTGCCCTTCGGGGCGTTCAGTCAGGACATGGAATGCTCAGAGAGAAGATCAGAAAGAGTGCTGACGACAGGTCATGAGTGTCAGAAGGCCCAGGAAGGAAGGGGTCAGGGAATTAAGGAGTGGGAGACGGGTTTATATTCATGGGTGAACTGGGGTGGTATGGCCAAAAAGATTTGGACTTCTAGTGGTGCCTGAGGCAAATGGAAACCCGAAGCATGTTGGTATAGTGATCCTGAAGGCCAATTAAAGGAAGATCAGGAATTGGTTTAGGTAGGAAGAGTGGGTGACCCAGCACTCCTGCAGCCAGTTGTGGTCTGGCAGCTCAAGGGATGAGTCAAGACAAATTCTGAGAGTTTGGTGTCTTAGACACTGTAGTGATGGGACAGCCAAAGGAGCAGCAGTTCTCACTGGAAGCTCAAGCAACTCTGTTAAATAATGTAATGTTAACATTATTTAAAGTCTCTGAGCCTCAGTTTGTCAATGAAATGAATGAAATGGGGACAATAATGGCTCTTAGGTAACAGCACAAGAACTTCACTTCTTTAGCATGCATTCTGCTTTAATCCATTCTGCTTTGTTTACCCTGATGGAACTATGACTCACCTGCATTTTTCCCCAGACCCTCCTACCTGTGTATACACTGTATGCCCACTGCTTTTAATCATTAAGCCCTTAGGACATTAGGTTCTAGTCAGAGTCAAACTCACTTAAGAAGAAAGCTTCAGGTATATCAACCATGACCAAGACACAATAACCAAACCTCAAACTAGAATAAGGTTTTAGTCAAACAAAGATAACCTTTTGGCCTCAGTTGTGTTTCAGCTCCAGACTCATGAAAGTGCAACGACCCCACAGACCACATCCCTGGAAACCAGACGGAACAATGCCGTGACTGGCACCAGGAACTGAAGCCATGATCAACTGCTTCCTGCCTTAGCACCAACCAATCAGGAGAGCCCACGACCCCAGCTCCCATAATAACCATGATAAAGTCTTTTTCCTTGTATAATATAACCTAGTCACTAGAGGCCATCGGGGAGCCATGCTTTTGAGAGCACTAGCTCACCTGAATTTCTGGACTTGATGTTAACTCTTTAAATAAACCTTTGCTTTCTTTGCTGCACACTCCTGCTCATATCTTATTTGGCTTGAGTGCATGCAGGCAAGCAGACCCTCTGAGTCAGCAGTAACACTTACCTTATAATTATGAAGATTAAATATGTAGTAGATTGAATTAATGACTCCGATTCTTCACCCCTCTCTTCACACTTTTTGCCTGTGACTTTGCAGTACAATAAATACGTGGAGTCCATATTCCTACCCCTTTAATCTGAGCCTGACCATGTGACTCAATTTGGCCAGCAGAATTTAGCAGAAGTAATGGTGTACCATTTCTAACCTTAGGCCCCAACAAGCCTGATATATTTCCAGTCTTGGTCTTGTGCTGCTGCCTCTCCATGAAAATGACGTATCAACACAAGCCTGCTGAGTCTAACGGGAGGATAAGGGACACAGAATGGATCTGTCCTAGCCAAGATGCCCCGGCCAAGCCCAGCCAAGGGCAGAACTCCCAGCCAACCCTTAGACACAAGAGCGAGCTCAGCCTGGGTCAGCCAATCCTCAATAGACTCACAGGTATGTGAGCTATAATAAGAGATTGTTTTTGGGCCGGCCGAGTGGCGCGTTGGTTAAGAGCTGGCTTGGGACGCCAGAGGGCCCCGGTTCGGATCCCACATATGAGGGCCAGTGACACTAAGTCCTCCACAACTAGACTGAAGAACAAAAGGATAGCAACTTGTCTGTTCCCCTTTCCCCAATTCCCCAATAAAAAATCTTAAAAAAAAGAGAGAGTTTTAAGTCACTGAAGTTTGAGGTGGTTTTTTACACAGAAATAACTGATATAAAATACTAGCCGTCAAACACAGAACATGGCATCTGGTAATTATTCAATTAATGTTGGTGTTCCAGTTACTATAGCTATGTAACAAATTACCCCAGAAGTATTTGGCCTGAAACAATCACTTCTTATGCTCACAGAGCATGAGGATCAGGAATTTGGACACAGGACAGTGGGTATGACTTGTCTCTTCTCTGTGACATCAGGTGCCTCAGCTACAAGACTCAAAGGCTAGAACCATCTGAATCTTTATGCACTTATGTGTCTTGGTTGATTCTGGCTCTCAGCTCAGACCTTAGCTGGGACTGCCGACTGGAACCCCTACATGTGCTCTCTCCATGTGGCCTGAGCTCCCTCACAGCATGGTAGTCAGGGTCCTAAGTTGAGTGAATTAAGGGAGAGTTAGGCAGAAACTGTATCCTTTTATGACGTTGCCTTGGAGGTCACATCACTTCCAGTGTACTCTGGAACAGTGTGGTGGGAGCAGTCAAAAGCCCATCATTCAAGCCCCAGATTGGAGGGGTACAAAAACAGATTCCACTATTTGATGGGGGCTGGAAGGTTCTGGAAGAGCATGTGGGACTGGAAGTATTGCTATTTGTGGAATTCATTTTGGGAAAATATAGTTAGTTGGCCATAATTAGCCATTTTTATTATTTCTATTATTCTCATCAAATGGATATGCTGAGTGTGTCTAAATCTACCAGTTACACTTACTTCTGCCTACTTACATAATGGTGTTCCTTCTATTTGGTATGCACTTGCCCTCCTCACCATGTCCTCCTCTGCCTTTTAAAGTGGTACACTTTCTTTCAAGAGCTGGCTCAAAACACATCCTTTCTCTGAATCTTTGTCCCGATTATAATAGCTCATTTAATTTCCTCCCTGAATTTCTAAAATCCATCATTTCAGAACCACTTATTTAGCCCTTGTTTTGTAGACATTGCATTATCTTAAGTATAACTCTTTGAGGACAAGAATGACAATATTTTAAAGTTTTAGTGCATTTAGTAACTAAAACCAATTATTTTACTAATCCTAAGAATTCCCTATATGTTTGTTTTTTGTTGTTGATGATGATATCATGGAGCAGACAAGAATATTCTGTGGTCTCGTGACAAGTGCAACTTTCTAAGTACATGTGAAATATTTCTTCTTGCAGTGACATGGCTGCATGGCAGGTGTGTGACAGCCTTCCAAAGCCATTCTTAGGAACATTTCTGCATGTGCTTGTTCAAAATACACATATCACCTTTTCCTAAAGTTTCAAGATCAAGGATATGTTTATTCTCTGTAGGTCCTCAGCCATCCCCTCTTCAATGGTTTTGGTTTTCCTTTTTTTTTTCCTCTTTTTTTCCCTTCAAATCCTTTATACATCTTGTTTCCTACAGGCTCACCTCCTTTCCTACCTTTTACTGATACTGGGATTAAAATAAAACATTAAAACATTCAGTTACTATTCCCATATTTCCTTACATATATATTTGTTTTTGTACATTCTAGGCTTCAGATATTGTCATGTCTGTCTTTAAAGAATAGATCTCCACAAGCTCATAATGTGGGTACCAACTGTAGACCAGGATGCACATTGTGTTGTGTAGTTTTGTTTTGTTTTGTTTCTTTAAAGATTTTATTGGGGAATTGGGGGAGGGGAACAGACAAGTTGCTGTCCTTTTGTTCTTCAGTCTAGTTGTGGAGGACATTGCTTCACTGGCCCATGTTGGTATTATTGCGCTCTTCCCAGGTGAGGCAGATCACTCGCTGGCCATTGGACAGTCGCTCACGGCAGCTCACACTGGCTGCTAGCCATTCATGGTAGCTTACTGCAGCCCACTGCATCCCCTCTCTAGCCTACGCCATCGCCGGTGACTCATGGCAGCCCAGCTCCAGGTTGAGCTGTTGTTCACCATCTTAGCTGTAAAGGGCGCAGCATCACTGGCCTCTATGTGGGATCCGAACCAGTGCTCTGCTGCTCAGAGCTGGCGTCCCAACCCAACTCTTAACCAATGTGCCACTTGGCCGGCCCTGTGTTGTGTAGTTTTTACACTGCATAACAGGACTCTTCTGAGAAGACAGAGGTGAGTCCAGTGTTTGATCTCCTTGAAATATTTTCCTCTGATGTGAGGCTTTGTCAGCCCTGGAAGTGCAGTGCCCTTTTGTAATTCAAATACAGGCGTCAAATGTGCTGCTCTCCCTGATGGTGGATTTGCTGTGAAAACCATCTTCTGAGCTGAGTATTTCTGGAGGGTGAACCATGTCTCTTTTACCTCTGTCTCCTTTGCACCTAATAGAACATGGAGTGGGTGCTTCAAAATGCTTCTTGAATCACTGCATATTTTGATTAGCAATCATTCCCAAAGAAGACAGAGTACTTTGAAGATAGGCTAGTCATTGCTGTCACCTGGAACTGAGCTGACCCACTCACAAACTTCTGGTAGGTGGCAGCACAGATAGGAGCTTGGGCTCTGGAGTCAGACATATTCTATCACCTATTAGCTTTGGGAATCTTCGTGAAGTTAAATGACCTGTTTGTGCTCAGTTTTCTTACCTGCAAAGTGAGGACAGGAGTAATCTACTTCATAGAGTTGTAGTGTAGGATTAAATGAAGTAAGCACATAAAGCACATAACAATGTGCTAGCCATTGATGTTACTGTTGCGTAATGTAAGGAAGCACATTGAGCCAGCAAAGGTATTTATAGATTAAATGTTAAGCACGTGAAATGTATTTGATAAGAGGTTTTGTATTGGGAAATATGTATTTTGTGTCTCATGTTTAGTCAGTAGGAATAAAATGCATTAAGAAGAGAGAGACTAGGTAGGACGGTCCAAAAATTGCCAAGATGATGATGCTTACTGTTCAAGCAGGCCAGCTTTTCGAGGTACTGTCTCTACACCTCTCAGGGCGCATTAAAAATACTTCTAATCAGAAACAAGTATTTGAAAATATTCCTGTCAACATCTGGAGGACTTGGGATATATCAGTTACTGCAATATTTAGTTCTCTCTTCCCAGAGGTGGGATTCCAGAGACAGCACAGGGTTGGGAAGTGAGAGACACCAAATGGTTTACAAAGAGAACATCTTAGAGCACAAAGAACTTAGTTCTGGGTTTTACAGATAAGGAACACATTGGTTTCCAAGTTCCAGCCCCCACTTGACCATGCTGCCTTGCCAAAGGCAACATTCCCCAAACAGGAGCATTCTCTACCTGCAATAGAAATCCAATCACTGAAACTTTCGTGAAAAGGGGGTCACAGGCCTTGAGAAGAAACCAGGTTTACTCATTCACTCAGAAGTGAGTGTTCACCTTGGTAGAGCATCATGGTGTTTGGCTCGTATTTTTTCTTTGGTTATTCATGTTTTTTATTTCTTTTATATGTTTTTCTTGACAAGTCACATAGACTTTCTTGCTAGCTTTTCCCAGACTGAGCCTTAAACTGATGTCTTGGGTACTTTTTAAATTCATAGTTTAACAATCTCAGGGGAGCATAAATTGATATACAGCCTGTTATTTGGTATTTCTGTAACAAAAGAAATAGCAAGGTCCTCTCCCCTGCTCCCCAATTTAGTCTGGTCACCAAGTGCTATATCTCCCCCTTTGCACTGAGCCTTTCTTTTTCATTGTCATTCCCTTATCAGAAGCCTATTAAGAGAATAAAAGAAGGTAGATTTGGTATTACCTGGAGAATCAGGAGAATTAAACATTCTTGCAGCATTTTGGACAGCAATAACCTCTGAGTTGCAAAGAGAAAAAAAAGCAATAGTAAAGAGAAGACTTTCCAGACTACAGAGGCTCAGAGGTGGAGGGAGAATTGACATCAAGAGGTCATAAGAAAGTTTTACTAAAATACAGAGTGAATGTCAGTCACATTCAGTTGCATGTTGACTTATTCTTGCTGATTCGTGTTGCTTTTGGCACATTTTTGCTACATACTGAGAAAAGCCAATTCTTAGTCAACTATGGCTTTGTATGAAGAGTCAACTATGGCTTAGTCAACTATGGCTTTGTAATAAATATAAAACATTAAAAAGCAGGGTTATGACTTTGTGAGAGGTGTAAGTGTCTAATCCTTATGTTGGTTTGTACACCTGAAACTAATAAAATAAAATAAAACATTAAAAAGCAGCTCACAAGCGTTAAAGGCAGCGGACGAGATATGCAGTAAGGGTTTGTTCAAGACTCCAACATGGCAAAAATTGGAAACTGTTCGGTCTCTGAGATACCGGTATGTCCTTTCCTTTGCCACTGCCACCAGATCTTCTAGGCTCTCAGGACTTTAAGCCTGTTAATGGAAAGAAGAG